CACAGAGACCGTGGGCAAGTTCGAGTTCTCCCGCAAGGATCTGATCGGCCACGGCGCCTTCGCGGTGGTCTTCAAGGGCCGCCACCGCGAGGTGAGGCCCCCTCCGGCCCGGGATCCCCTGCCCCGGCATCCCCTCCCCGAGATTCCCTCCTATCCCGGGATGCCCCCCCCCCTACGCCGCCCGAGAGTCCCGCCCGACTTTCCAGGCCGACCCCCACCCCAGGATCCCTACCCCGCGACCCCCAGCCCGACCGGGCTTTCCAGGCCGACTCCCACCTCAGGATCCACTGCCTGGCTTGCCAGCCCAGATCCCCACTCCGAGACCCCCAGCACGACTTTCCTGTCCAAACCCTTACCCCGGGACACCCCGCGCCCTGTCCCACAGCCTGGCTTTCCAGGCTGGATCCCTACCCCAGGACCCCCAGCCCGATCCTCAACCTGGCTCCCCACTCGGCCTTCCACTCCCGGGATCCCCAACCGGGATCATCTCAGGGTCCCACCTGTGCGGTGTGGGGTCTGGGGGAGGCCTGCGAGGGGCAGCCCTGGCCCTGAAGTTGCACGTTTGGCTTTCAGAAGCACGATTTGGAGGTCGCCGTCAAGTGCATTAACAAGAAGAACCTCGCCAAATCTCAGACCCTGCTGGGGAAGGAAATCAAAATCCTGAAGGTGAGCTAGTGCTTGGGGAGGGTGTGTGGGCGAGGGCGAGCCCCCCTCCCCACACTGATAAGAAACTTGGGTTTCTGTCCTAGGAACTGAAACATGAAAACATCGTGGCCCTGTACGACTTCCAGGTAAGGCCTCCGGGCTGCTGTGTGCCGGGGACGGGGATGGGGGACTGCGGCCCCAGGTGCTGGATCCCCTGGTGAGCACTGGTGTTGAACCTGTCCAGGCTGGGGTCTACTGGGCCCCTGGAGACTCCACCCTGGGTCCAGGCCTGGGCTGGGGCTGGCTCTTGCTGTGACTTCCCCAGCTGTGAGACCGGGGAGGGGGTGTCTGGGCCGCAGGGCGCCCGGAGGGCAGGGCTGAGTTCCCCTGACCAGGCATCCCTTCCCCGCCGGGTGTCAGTCCTAGGGGCCCTGCCTGAGTCCGGCGTCCCAGGCAGGCCCTGGCAGCACTGCCGGCCTGGCCCACCTGTCTAGGCCGTGTGTTTGTTGACATTGCTCCCGCGGCCGGCATTGGCCGGCCTTGCTCTGCGTCAGACAGGGCGGGGGAGGGGCCGCCGGAGACTCCTGCTCGCTGGCAGTCAGGGCCGAGCCCGGGCACAGGCGGCTGCCGCTGGCTGGCCAAGGAGATGACCTCAGGCCCGGCTGGCCCCAGGATGCAGGCGGTGGGACCAGCTGGCTTTCATGTTGCCCCCATGTCCCGGGGCTCAGGGCAGGCCAGGCTGAGGCTGTGGGAGCCAGGGTGCCCTCCTGGGGACCAGGAACCTGAGGCGGGAGATCCGCCCGACCAAAGTGCTGACTAATGGCTCTGCGACCTGTTTACTGAGCCCAGGGCCCAGCCCCTGGCTGAGGGAAGGGCTGGCGGGCTGTGTTTTGGTAGCCTCCTCCCTCCGCCTGTCAGAGCTTTGCTGTGGCCTTGGGGACCGAGGCTTGTCACAAGGTGTCGGGTGAGGAGGGCCCAGGTCCAACAAGTACCTGGAAACCCAGGCACACTGTGTCCTGGAACCGGGCCACCCCTCCCGCTGCTTTTCCCGCCCTCTTCCCACCCCTTTTCTCCCTGCTTTCCTCCCTCCCTTCCTCTTCTTTCCTCATCCTCCCCATGTTTGGAAGCCTCCTGCCTGGGCCACAGCCTGGACATGCGTCATGGCGCTGGGAGCCAGCAAGGAGTGGGCAGCTGTCCCTGGCCAGGCAGTGACTCCGAGGAGTCCCCCTCCACCCTGGGCTACGCTGCCTCCTGCTCCCCTCCAGGGCTCCCCAGGTCCAGTCCTGGGCATCTCCAGGCCAGGCCCTGTGACTGTCTGCATGACCCCCACAGACCCAGGGCCAGTATCCCCAGCCCCCGCTCCATCCCAGTCGGCCACACACACCTGGTTGTGGGCATCTGCTACTTCCTCCAGTGTTGGCAACACTGCGGCTTCCTCTACTCAGGAAGCACTTAGAGCGGCCTGCTGCAGGCGCTCCTGTCTCCGGGCACCAGGCTCTGCTGGAGCTGCAGCTCAGCCTGCCCTCGCCCCACAGGTGCGGGGATTGTTGCCCTGTGTCGGTAAGGCAATGTTTGAGGCAGGCACCCAAACCCAGGAAAAAATAATTGGCTTTTAAAAATGGGTAATGAACAATTTGAGTGATAAAAGAAAATCTGCAAACATTACAGGAGGGAGTGTGGTAACGGTAAGAGTCCAACCCCCTGGATGGAGTCCTGCTGTCCTCTGCTCTCAGGCACCTGCCTTAGTTGTTTCTGTGCCACTGGGGACAGCCGTCCTTACAAGACGATGTGTTCATGTGTGTCCTTCCAACCACACCCACCTCTCTGCACTGTGAATTTTGTCACTTAAGAGTATAGTCTGCCCTCCATCCAGCCTGGGCGACTGAGCGAGACCCTGTCTCTGAAAGAGTACAGCTTGGGGAAGGTTCTGTGCTGGCTCAATCCATATCAGAGTTTACCCCTCAGCCGGGCACAGTGGATCACACCTGTGACCCTAGCACTGTGGGAGGCCAGGACAGACCAGCCTGGGCAACATAGCAAGACTTGCTCTCTTTAAAAAAAAAAGAAAGAAAATTAGCCAGGCATAGTGGCATGTCTCAGCTACTCTGAAGGTTGTGGGAGGATTGATCAAGCCCAGGAGTTTGAGGCTGCAGTGAGCCGTGATCTTGCCACTGAATTCCAGCCTGGGCAGCAGAGTGTGACCCTGTCTCAAAAAAACAAAACAAAACAAAAAAATCCCTCGAAAAGTTTACCCCTCTCTGTTAGAGGTCACCATCTGTAAGCGCAGTGGTCGAGAGCCCGGCTGACGCTGATGAGGGGCCCAGTCCTGGCTGCCACGTGCACACACGGCTTCTTCAGTTTGCGGCCCTGTTTCTTCCTCTGTGAAGCAGAAAGCACGGGCTGTGAGGGCTGTGAGAGGGAGTGCTCTCGGGCTGGGGGAGCCATTGTGGAGGTGCTCGCCGCTGTCCTGATTGGGGCCGCCGTGGTGATTTTCAGCCATGGGGTGCCCGTTGCCTGAGATTCCATAACTGATTTCACCGAGGCCCTGTAGGTGGGACATGGGGTTGTTTTGGGATGCTGGTACATCAGGGTGGTTGTGACTGGATCCCTAGAAGTAGAATCCTTGGGTGGGAGGGATGCTGGTTTTTAATTTGGGTAGTTATTGCCAAATTGACCTCCAGAGAGGCAATGCCAGTGGTCTCTCAGCGTGACTCCAAGCACATGTCTCCCTAGCTCCTTGCCAGGAGGGCGGCTCTCAGAGGTTTCCATCGTGGCTCATGTGAGAAGTGGAAAATGATGTCTCTTATGGTTTTGCTATTCTTTTTTTTTTTTTTTTTTTTTTTTGAGATGTCAGTGTTGTATGATTTCTCTGTATTAAGCACAGGAAATTTAACATCAGCAAAAAAGAATGCTCTTTTTTTTTTTTGAGATGGAGTTTTCTTCTTTTCACCCAGAATGGAGTGCAGTGGCGCGATCTCGCCTCACTGCAACCTCCGCCTCCCGGGTCCAAGCGATTCCCCTGCCTCAGCCTCCCAAGTACAGGCGTGTGCCACCACACCCAGCTGATTTTTGTATTTTTAGTAGAGACGGGGTTTCACCATGTTGGCCAGCCTGGTCTTGAACTTCTGACCTCATGATCCACCAGCCTCAGCCTCCCAAAGTGCTGGGATTGCAGGAGCGAACCACCCCGCCTGGTCAGTTTTCTTTTTCATTGGTGATGAATGAGCTTCACTATCTGAGCACGGGAATGTTAGAAATACCACTTGTCCTTTGTACAATGTATTTTTTTTTTTTTTTTGAGATGGAGCTTCAATCTGTCACCCAGGCTGGAGTTCAATGGCGCGATCTCGACTTATTGGAACCTCTGCCTCCTGGGTTCAAGCGATTCTCCCGCCTCGGCCTCCCGAAGTGCTGGGATTACAGGCATGAACCACTGTGCCCAGCCTTCACAATACATTTCTGTATTTTATATATATGTCTTTTTGAGATGGAGTTTTGCTCTTGTTGCCCAGGCTGGAGTGCAATGGCACTATCTCGGCTCCACAACCTCCACCTCCCTGGTTCAAGCAATTCTCCTGCCTCAGCCTCCCGAGTAGCTGGGATTACAGGCATGTGCCACCACGCCCGGCTAATTTTGTACTTTTAGTAGAGACATGGTTTCTCTGTGTTGGTCAGGCTGGTCTAGAACTCCTGACCTCAGCTGATCCGCCCGCCTCAGCCTCCCAAAGTGCTGGGATTACAGGCAGGAGCCACCGCTTCGGGCCTATTTTAATATATTTTTTAAAAGAGACTGGGTCTCACTCCCTTGCCCAGGCTGGAGTGCAGTGGCATAATCATGGCTCACTGCAGCCTTGAACACCTGAACTCAAGAGATCCTCCCACTTCAGCCTCCAGAGTAGCTGGGACTACAGATATGCACCACCATACCTGGTTAGGCACATATTTCTGGCAAGTTCTTGATCCCTTTTTTGCCAAGGTTGAAGGGTACCATGCTTAACACCATGGCCCCTGAGCCATTCTGCCGTTCGCTGGGCCTTAACTCTAATATTTACCTGTGTGACCTTGGGCAGGCAGCCTCCTGGCACCTCAGTTTTCTTACCTTTTAAAAACTGTTGACTGGGTGCAGTGGCTCAGGCCTGTAATCCCAGCACTTTGGGAGGTGGAGGCGTGTGGATCACGAGGTCAGGAGATCGAGACTATCCTGGCCAACACGGTGAAACCCTGCCTCTGTTAAAATACAAAAATTAGCCGGGCGTGGTGGCCCATGCCTATAGTCCCAGCTACTCATGAGGCTGAGGCAGTAGAATCGCTTGAACCCAGGAGGCGGAGGCGGCAGTGAGCCGAGATTGCGCCGCTGCACTCCAGCCTGGGAGACAGGGCGAATCTATCAAAAAAAAAAACAAGGCCAGGCGCGGTGGCTCACGCCTGTAATCCCAGCACTTTGGGAGGCCGAGACGGGCGGATCACGAGGTCAGGAGATCAAGACCATCCTGGCTAACACGGTGAAACCCCGTCTCTACTAAAAAATACAAAAAACTAGCCGGGCAAGGTGGCGGGCGCCTATAGTCCCAGCTACTCGGGAGGCTGAGGCAGGAGAATGGCGTGAACCCGGGAGGCGGAGCTTGCAGTGAGCTGAGATCCGGCCACTGCACTCCAGCCTGGGCGACAGAGCGAGACTCCGTCTCAAAAAAAAAAAAAAACAAAACACAAAAAACAAAACAAAAACGAAGACCGTTGTGGTTGTGATGGCAACTTGAGTGTGTTAAGTCCTTAGAACTATGCCTGCCACGTTGTATGTGCTCTAAATATTATTGATTGGTAGGCGTCCTTTATATATGAAGGAAAGTAGCTTCTTTGTGATAGGTTGCAGGTATTCCCCTCCATATTGTTTGTCGACAGTTGAGGTTATTTTTGGTTTATCGTGTTGGGTTTTGTGTATTGGGTTTCTTTTTTATCCATAAACATTGTGAAAGTGTGAGTGCCTGGGAAGTGTGTACCTTGGGTCATGCTCTTTGAGTCCACCACAGCTGTTGGGAGCAGCTGCAGCACCTGGCCTCCTTATTGAGGGTGTGGTGGCAGCGTCTGCACTTGCCTGGCCCCAGGAGTGCGCCGCCACAGGAATCAGGGTGTGGGGCTGTGGAGCCAGGCTGGGATCCTGCCCAGCGTGCCCTGGGAGGAGGGCTGATGGCTACAGGCCTTGCTAACGGTGGCCCCCATGGCCAGCACGCCAACTGACAGGTTCCTTGCAGCTGAAGGCCTTGCTGGGCCACTCAGGTGTGACTCACTTAGGCCCTGCAGACAGAGCCGCTGCCCGTGAGTTACCTGTGGTGGAGACCTGAGTCAAGAGGTGTGCTCCCCCGTGGAGACCCGAGTCAAAAGGTGTCCAGGCCTGCTTAGGGGCCTGGGAGACCGTGGGTCCAGGCAGTCCAGCCCGGCATGAGACTGTGACTCCCCATCCCAGAGTGAGGAGGGGACTGCCAGGCCTGGGCTGGTCTGGCGGGGGGGCTGTCTGCAGCGGGAGTTGGGGCAGGATGCAGGCCGAGTAGAAACCCATGGGGTGGGTACCCAGCTCCCGGGCAGGGGCCTGTGAAGGGGCCCCCAGGGCCCAGGCAGTTCTGGAATTACCTCCAAAGTGGTGTGTATCTTTTTTTTTAACTTTTAAAATCATGGGATAAGACCGGGCGTGGTGACTCACGCCTGTATTCCTAGTACTTCTGGTGACCAAGGTGGGCAGATCACCTGAGGTCAGGAGTTCGAGACCAGCCTGGCCAACATGGCAAAACCCCTTCTCTACTAAAAGTACAAAAATTAGCCGGGTGTGGTGGTGCGCACCTGTAGTCCCAGCTACTTGGAAGGCTGAGGCAGGAGAATCGCTTGAACCTGGGAGGTAGAGGTTGCAGTGAGCCGAGATCGCGCCACTACACTCCAGCCTGGGTGACAGAACGAGACTCCGTCTCAAAAGAAAAAAAAAGAAAAAGAAAAAAATCATGGGATAAAAATACTGGAAGGTGCAAAACAGATGAGAAGGTGCACCACAACAGGCCCTGTGTGGCGTAGCAAGCGCCAGCCCAAAGCCATGCCCATATCCTGGGCTGCTCCCTTTGCCACATGCTGACTTTAAGCCTGGAGGTGGGATGTCAGCCGTAGGTTTGAGGGGTGCTGTGTCTCCGTGGGTGACAGGAGTTGGTTTTTATTTCTGCGCATTACCCCGTTGTGGGACTGTCACCTGGTATCAGTATCTGTCCGCAACGGCTGTGGGGACGGGTCTCAGCCGCCTGAAGGACAGAGCTGCTGGGACCAGGTTTCATTGGGGTGTGCGCCAACTAGGATGGCCGGGTCTCGGGAGGAATGTGTGGAGTTGGCGTCTTCCCGAGTGTCTCTGCAGCTTACACTGCCCCCCAACCCCCCACCCCTGCTTGCCCTGGGATTGTTCCCTGCCTTTTCCAAGCAAGGTTGTGCCCTCAGAAGGGTCAGGCCACCCACCCCTGCCTCACTGCATCTAGGGACGTGCCTCAACCCGCTGCGACTGACTCCTGGATTGTCCAGACCCCCAGACCCAG